TTTTTTTGGCTTAAAACCGATAAGATTCATGCTTTCAAAAACAGAGTAAAAAATAAAAGTTCTACCTTCACCTTAGTAAAATTACATTGAACTGACCGTGCACTTTACCGAACGGTCTTTTGACTGCCCAGTTTTCTTAAAGCATGGTAAGGTAAGGTGTCTTGTAATTGACTTAGAAAGTTCTTTCAAGGAGCGGTGGTTACTACAGATTAAGGACTTCAAAAGAGGAGTATGATCGATTTACTACAATGCTGCTCTTGAACACACGGCTGTTTTTTCTCTGTTTGCTTGGAGTGCGAAATTGAGGCAAACTATATGTTATGCCCCTTGTCCGTTGCGTTTTCTTGAAAAGTGGTGCCAATAAACTCTTTTAATGTATTCTTACGGAATGCTAATGCTATGGTCCCAAAGCTGTAACCTATGCCCAGTCCTGCTCAATTTGTTTGATCTTAAAGGTCACAAACAAAATAAAATGGCATCGTCGTAGTGGACACATTGCGTAAAATATTTGATGTCAACTACAGCTGTTTAGGTATTGATAGTCATCAACAATTGGCCTTGGCGGCGAAGCCTTGGGGTTTTGCAAAGAATGCACGAGCCATACTTTGGTTTGACAATTTATTGCGGAACATTTGATGAAAATGGCTTAGAAGATGAAGGTGATTATGAGGAAAGAAATTGTTGCGTACTTCTAGATATATTACTATCTTTGAGGTTACCCGCCGACTATGGAAGGCTTTAGCTTCGTAAACGTGCATCCAGAAGAATTAGTGCGTGGTGTTTACCTGTACTTTTGCCTGACGAAAGTAGCAGAGATGAGACTACGCAATGTCAAAGGTGCATACTTCCGAAGTAGAGCACTTGGTAAAATAAAAATTTGAAGGGTACTTCGTCACCTCCGATGATCTGGTCTTCAATTTTTGGCACGATATAAAGCTAGACACTGTCTATCATCCTTTAGGCATAGTAAGGCGTGAAAAAAGATTCTGGTACAACGGTTTCGCAGGTGATTTCTGAAGTTGCTTATGAAGAAGCCTTCTATCCAACACTTTCCTTAATAGTAGCAGGAAAGAAAATATTCGAAAATGTCGATTATAGGTGCAGTAGCACTGCAAAGGACTGTCGACTTGTTGACAAAACGATACAGAAATATTACAACAGTGCAAAATATTGGCAGACAATATAAAAAGAAGGCAAGAGATTCAATTTTTTAGTTTCGTTTCAGGATTGAAGATGATATTTTGCAGCGTTAAGGTTTCTCTCAGGCTATACTGTTTAGATACTAACATATCAAAACACCACAGATGCTCTTGATTACCTAATGGCAA